CAAGCCTTTACGGTTGAAATCGGGGCTAAAATGTCAGCCGAAGGGGGGAGGAGAGAGCAGCTGGTCTCCAAGTTAAAAAGCAAACAAAGGAGACCTTGTCTCCCGGGCCAGTGAATGGATTAATTGGGGCCAGACGACGATCCCGATCGCGACAGACCGCCTGCCCCTCCCGCCTTTGGCCGACGGACCTCTGCGTCGTATATTCACGATCGCGACGGTAACAGGGCCAACCCACTTGTTCCTCTTTGTCCATTCTGGCCGAATGCCGACGCGACTGGCAAGAGGAGGCAGCGATTCGCGCCAACTCGAAGGGTTAGTTACAGTAACCGGCAGAGAGTGGAGTTACCGTCCTGAGTGGAGAGACGGTGTTGTTTGTTGTTTGTTGTCTTTGCCAATCCGACCAGGTCACGGGATCGAAAGCCCCCACTCCGAAGCCGGACAATCCGAGGGGTTCAAGTGGACAAGCGGACAAGACGACAGGCCTGTCGTGATGGGGAGAAGACAATGTCGGCCACGACGCCCACTGTCATGATGCGGCATAGAACAAGAGACAGACGTGCCAGGCCAGCGAGTGAGGCAATTTGAGGCTTGATCGCGTGGCGTCACTTTGTGGGCTCGGCTTGTCGCCAAACCTCGAGAAGGCCGAATCCAGTCGACGACAAGGCTGGCGGCAATCGAGATCACAATTGTTACGGGCTTTACACAAAAAAAGAGGCGTGGGCAAACGCACACACACACAAACAGGGGAGAAAACATGTGTCCTGAGGCTGGGATACGTGTTGCGTGTCTGCTCCCTCGGCCCTTTCGTGTGGAGAAGCAATCTATAGTCTGGCCTGTGCCCCAGCGACCGGAATTTCAGAGATCTACTGCGGTTGACCTCAGGCAATAACCAAGCAACATAACTGGACAAACAGAACAGAAGAGAAAGACAAGGTTTAGATCTTCAAAAAGATATCAGATCCTGCGTCCTCTGGCATTGTCGCCATCGGGCCGATGACATGGCGCATTGCTCTGCGACCCTTGGCACATGTCAAGGAGACAAGAAGAAAGACGGCGGAGCCTTAAAAATCTCGGACATTCATCAGAAGAGAGAAGGTGAAGCCCAGTCACGGCAACGAGCTGACAAACAATGCTGAAAAGTCAGGCCCATTGGAGTACCTGGGACCTTTGCCGTCAAGGCAAAAGGAGCACAGAACGGGAGGCTCGATCAGGGTCATGAAAATATTGAGTTTGGGTTGAAATTTGCACAAAAGTGTCCATAAAACATACATTAACAGACAAGATTGACTGACTGTTGACTGATTGATTGAATGACTGACAGAAAGACTAATCGACTGACTACGATGCTGGCGATACCCTTTTGAATGCACGAAATCAACGGTCCTAAGATGGAAATAATTAAAACCAATGTGGATATCTTCTACGAGGTCTTCTGCTCTTCCCCACCACGTTGTGCAAATGTGGCGAAGCCAATTAAAAAAATGGTACTTCTATTTTTCTAATTTAATTATTGTTTCGAGACTACCAGTCGATAAGTATTCACCCAATTTCGTTTAACGTGATGAAGGACTGTTAGTAGAATTTTCACACAATTATGTGAGTAGAGCTGATGTTTCCATTGAATTCCACATTT